CTCTGGGGTACATGGTTGAGAACCACTGACCCAGCATACAGAATACTTCACCATCATGCCTGATAGGCATTTATGGATTTTTCCCTCCCATCATGAATGTACTAGTCTTTTTTTTGAACCCTGCTATAGTTTTAGCTTTCACAAAATCCCCTGGAAATAAGTTCCACACATTGATTATGCATTGTGTGAAGTACTTCCTTTTGTTTTAAACCTGCTGACTATTCATGGTTCCGCCAGTCTCCCACAGGATGACCTTGAGCAAGTCATGTCTTCTCTTTGCCTCAGTTTCCACAACTGTAAAATGGGGATAATGATAATTCACCTCTTTATAAAGTGCTTTAACAACCACTAATGAGAAGCACTATCAAAACACATTTAAGCCAATGCCTGAAACAACAGCTCTAACAAGTTAAATATTTGCATAGAGTTAATTTATGTTTAGTTTAAAAACTGCTTTATGACCTTTTTAATGTTAAGTGCCAGCAGTCTGGTTCCATTTTCGTTTAGGTGAAGCCCATCCTTCCTGTATAGGCTCCCCCTTTCCCAAAAGTTTCTCCAGTTCCTAATGAATCTAAACTCCTCCTCCCTACGCCATCGTTTCCCTACTCACTGGAGACTCTGAAGCTCTACCTGACTACCTGGCCCTGCGGGAGGTACTTGAAGCTTTTCAGATCTACCAAAAATGTCCTGGATTTCTCTCTCTTTCCTAGCAGTCTAAATTTGGCCTCTAGAACCTCCTTCCCTACTCTAATTTATGTCATTGGTACTTACATGTACCATGACCACTGGCACCTCCCCAGCACTACACAAGTCTATCTAGATGTCCTGAGAAATCTGCAACCTTTGCACCATACAGTTTGCCTGGTCATCACAAACCCAGCTATCTATATTTCTAATGACCGAATTCCCCGAGTACTACCATCTGCCTTTTCTTAATGACCGGAGTTCCCACCCCCAGAGAGGTATCCTAATGCGAGAGGATAACACAACATCTTCTGGAAGGGGGGGGGGGGGGTCCCAACTATGGGATGGTTTCCCTCTGCTCCAGTTTATTGGTCTCCTTCCCTGAGCCTTTCCTTCTCCTTAACAGCACAGGGACTGTCTGACTCCAGGAGTTCAATCTATTTAGTTTACCAAAGAGAAGGTTAAGGGGTGACTTGATCAAAGTATCTTGATCAGTGCTTTAATGAACATGTTAACAGGCCAACAAGGAATCACAGCTATTGCTAAGTACAGTCTTTCAGATCACATGTTCACCTTTCGGCATTAAGCATAGTTTTCCCAGTGAAGTATTTTTCTTTGATTGTAAGGTTTAACTCATACACAGAGCACAACATTGTTTATAATACCATTAAATGTAAAGACAGCAGAGATGGGGGAAGGGGAAAATTAGTTTTTCTTAACATAAGCACGATTTGAAGTAGTTTGCAAAGCAAGTTAGCTTCACTACACATCAACAGTTTACAGACATCCAATTTAAACTAGTCTTAGAACACTCCTAAATGAAGAAAGTTAACTAGCCTGTGGAACTCATTGCCATGTGATGTCATGAAGGCCAAAAATATAACTGAATTCAAAAAAGCATTAGATAAGTTCACAAGCCAAAATGTTCGGGGACACACACCCCATTCTCTGGATGTCCCTAAATAGAAGCTGCAACAGGACGACAACTGTTAGATCACATGAAATTGCCCTTTTTTGTTTTTCATTCCCTCTGAAGCATTTGCCAGAAACATATTGGGATAGATGTCCCATTGGATCTGACCCCAGTATGATCATACTTCTGTTCTTGTCCAACACACAACATCAATGTTTCCTATTTAAAATTTTTAAATAACATTGTAACAATTACACAATGAATTTTTAAGATTCTATCTGTTAAAGAGGTCATTTTATTACTATACTCTTCATTAAAAAAATGCCACAAGGAGAGCTACACTTCTGACACAGGTTGAACCTCTCTAGTCCAGCACCCTTAAGACCTGACCAGTTCTGAACGAGGAAATTTTCCAAACCACACGAGGTCTAGAAGAATTACCAACACTTCCACCACTTACTGGGCTGTTAGAGGACATTTAGGAGTAAATTAAAGCTAAACAACAGCACAGAACACTGAGAGCTAGGACTGGTGGCCGTAAACAAACTTTATGAGACTGTAGGAAACTTGGCCACATCCATGAAAAGTGGACATCCAGCTAAGTAAAATAATGCTGGACAACAGATGTTTCAGGATCAAAGAGTTCTGGACTAGAGAGATTCAACCTGCACTTTACTTTTTTTGTCAATTTAGAGATGTTAATGTAAATCTAATTCTTCAAAAATGAGATCATTCATTCAAAAACTTATCTGGAATTCTTCAGTTTTGTACAAAAGTAATAGGAAAATTCAAAGGTTATTCTGCCTACTTTTTTAAGAATGCTGAACAGATGTGCATTCTCTATTCTGAGAGTTCCCAACAGGGATGTTAAGGGTTTGAACCGGTTACTCGTTAACAGGTGATGCTTATCGGGTAACGGTTAACCGGAACCCAAGGAACAGCCCCCTGGGCAGTCCCACCTAAGGTCAGAAGCCCCCCAACCTGTCCCCATTTAATCAGTTAACCAGTTAAAATTAACATTTAACTAATTAAATGGAGTTTTACATCCCTAGTTCCCATCCAAATAGAAATTCAACACTGATACTGGAAAAAAGAAAGCAGAATTGTATGCTATTTATGGCAATCAAGTGTACTCAGCTTGAGGTCGAGTGCAGTGTGGTAAGAGGAAGGGTATGCAGTGGATTATATATTCATAATTTAGGGCCATAAACCTTAATTCTGCCAAAATGGAATATGTACACAATTTTGTTTTCTGGCTTTGTCCTATCCTCACACTATAAGTCTACTATGTAAATATTAATCTGTTAACATGGTTTGCTATAGTCAACAAAGGCAAAGCTAAATGTGCCAATACACAGCTGAGGCACTACTAGATTAGAAAAGCTACCTGCATGAGTAAACTCTTTTCTGTGGAGAGGCCCTTCCTAGGTTAGAATCTTAACATTTTGTAAAAAGGACAAAAGAATGTTCAGTTTGTACAAAAACACCTCAGTATACTTGGAAAAGCAGAAAATAGGATGTATCCTAACCTATTCAAACCAATGTTACATTTACTGAAAATCTCATTATTGTAAATTTCATATTAAATAGAAATGCATGGCACTAAAAAGATATTTGCTTATATCATTAAGGTCATCATATTGTTTAAAAAAAGCATAGCAGAATCCACCAAATTAAGATCAGAGCCAAATGTTTTAGACTTATGCACTTTCAAATATTGCTAAATATAGCAAAACAGAAAGGGAAATGTGCTTCCAGCTGCACACAAAGCATCTGCAGCACAGCATCAATTTATACAATCTAATTAAATTAAAGATTTAACATTGCACTATGGTTCTATGAGAGAAACTGTTTCACAGCTGAAGTTAGCCTCCATTCTCACCAAATCACAATTACCAAGACACGTTCTCCTACTCTTAACAGCTTGACAGGGATTTTTCCAACTGAAACTGCTGAAATACAGCTTTTAATCACTTTTCAAAGATTAGTCATTGCATTTACAGCCATAGCTGAACTCCACTACATAGGAACTATGTCGACATATTATTCCTGTCTCCAGACACATATTTAGTGTTACTTAAACACACCCCATAGAACATACAGACTGCTTACCAGAGCAAGATTAAAAGGGCTTTTCCTTTCTGTTGGATTTTAAAATCCAATTAATTGCTTTGCAAAAGAGAACATCCTTTCATAAGAGATTGCTAGTCTAAAAATGATTATGGCTTTCTACTTCATTCTAGGAAGCATTTAACAGATTTGTAGTGGGGGAAAGAAGTTATTAACATAGTAATTCTTTAATTGTTCAGGAACTCTGCTTCATGGTCCATTTTAAAGCTTTCTGTATTTATTTGCTAAAAACGTTCCCCATTTGCTGAACATGCATTTAATTCTGATAACTGTAAACTTATGCATCTTACAGCATTCTCTAGGGCATTCAGTGAATACGGCTTACATGCCTTATGTTCATCAGCAGCTACTATGATGTTCAGCAGAAAAGCTTCAAGCTCTAACAGCAGGGCTAGGAACATTAATACCAAGCGGATTACTTTAAGATCCATATCAGGCTCTAAAAAAATAAACATTTCCACTACAAATCTGAATGTAAGTGCCTCTTTCTCCTCCCTCCTCCCCTAATTTCATCATGCCCCCTGCAATCTAGACAAAAGGGACAACATCTATCCTACAAACAAAGATGCCACTAGAAAACGTAAGCAGTTGAAGGGAAGATTTTAATTACTGAAGTGTAATGATTACAGGCAATTGCCACCTACAAACTATATAATGCACAGAGAAACGTAAGCAGGATCTCTTCATACACTCCATAATCAGTGTTTAGAAACTTCTGTGTGTTTGTGTGTGTGTATACATATCTATATCTATATATCTTTGCATTCGTCATGCTGCATGCTTAAGAACTTTGAATGTTTGCTAAGGGAAAAGCTAGCCTTGCTAGGTCCCATCTACAGCAGCTTCAGTGCCACAGGGACACAAGCATACTGCAACCTGCCCAGCAGTGCAGGCCCCAAAGCTCAGCACACTGAGGCCAGCTCCACTGAGAAATAGGGTCCATGGAACCAGCCCAGATATTATCCCTAACCATGCATAGCAAGCCCTTGCCTGAACCAGGAGTTTAAATCCATCCCACAGATCTGCATTAGGCTAATGGGAGACAGAGAGACTGCCAGCTATTGGGGAACTGCACGGGCTATAGTTACAAAGGGGGCATGGATCACCTACAGGCACACTCTCCAATGGAAGTTGTGCCTTAGACCAGGCACAGGAAGAGGGCAACGCACCAGCCCAGCGGCAACCCCAGAGCAACACAAGAACCAGCCCTGCCCCCCACCAAGAACATCCTGCAGGAGAGTGGGGCAGCAGGGCCCGTGTTCCCCTCGCTCACCCATCCAACTCCACCACTGCTGGGGGGAAGAGGGATGCTCCCCACCCCAGAGCCTCCATGAGCAGCTCAGAGCTAAGTGGCCCTGGGAGTTCCCTGCTCCAGGGCTCCTGCCC